TGTGCTCCTCACATGCTTCTCATGTGTTTGCTAGAAACACATGTGAAGCATCTGAGAAACACTGGGCACTGAAATGCGCATGGTTTTATGGCCAATTCTTGGCTTATGGTAAACACGTACATGGCATGATTATGCCGAATTGTTGTGCCAAAATGGTCTGATTTTCCCCCATAATGTGCGCATATGCTGTATACCAGTTACCTTTTGCTAGTATACCACTTCCATGGGTCAGAGTTTTGTTGTTGTTGCGCCTGTCGTTGCTATTGTTGATGGCGCTGATCTTGTTGTTGCTGTCGTTGGCGATGTGGTTGGTGTTACTGTTGCTGTTGTTGTTAATGTTGTTGTTTTTGTTCTAAATCTTGTTCTTGCTATATTCAAAAATCTCGTCACTGCCGCTGTGGCTGTCACTGTCGCGCTTGTCGTGGTCGTCGTGGTCGTCGTTGTTGTTGTTGCGGTTGTTATTGCTTGTTGTTGCTGTTGTTGTTGTTGTCGTTGTCGCTGTTGATGACGGTGATGTTGATGTTGTTGTTGTGGTTATCGTTGCGGTCGTCGTCGTGGCCGTCGCCGTCATGGTTGCTGGTGCTGTTGTTGTTGGCTCAACGGGGGGTTGTTGTTGTTGTTGTTGTTGTTGTTGTCGTTGTCGTTGTTGTTGTTGTTGTTGGTGGTGGTGGTGGTGGTGGTGGTGTTGTTGTTGTTGCGCTTGTGGTCCTTGTCGTTTTTTTTTGGTGTGTTGCTGTTGTTGGCCTAGTTGCTTCTGTTGTTCTTGTTGATGTCGTGTCGTCTTCCTCGTTGTTCTCCTGGCCGCCCTCCCTGCTGGTATTCTTGTCGTCCTCCGTGTTGTTCTCATTGTTGATGTGCGTCGTCGTGGTTGGGTTCTTTTGTTGTTGTAGTTGTATCGGTTGTTGTCGTTCTGGTTCCTCTTCATCTGCGTCTTCTTCCTCTTGTTGTGGTTGTGGTTGTTCCTGCTCTGGTCGTGATAGTGGTGGTGTGTGGCGGTATTAGTGAGGATGGAGGTGATGCTTTTGCAGTTCTGGCGCTCGTTGTTGTTCGTCGCCGTTGTAGGTGTCGGCGTTGTTGATGCACTTGTCGTTCGTGGTGGCTACCGGCGGGCCCTTATGTCCGCACTTCGGCTGCGGTTCGCCGGGGGGCTGCTGAGCCAACCAGAAAAGGCCCACGGAGCCAGTGCCAGCGCCAAGGTCCAGCAGTCGTGTTGCCGTGGGCGCAGCGCGCGCCGCTTCGCGTGCTAGAAGGATATCATCGCCGTTGAAGCGGTACCCGTTCTTCACCTGCGCGTGGAAAGCAGGGTTCCCCCCGCTTAGGGCTGATGTCCGTCCCGAAACAACCGGGCTCTGAGACAGGATGTATCCACATGGTGTGCCTCCCAGTTGCTTCCCATGTCTATCGCGCACCAGCTGACACGCTAATTGCCCCTCACGCACTGCCTGGTGGATGGTCCAGCCACGGCAAAGCCGGTCCAGCACCACAGGCTTGCCTGAGGCTGTGGGCGCAAGAGAAGAGCCTGTCGAGGCTGGGGACCACCGAAGCAGCGGCAAAAGCGCTGCCAGGCAAAGGCTGCGCTTCCGCATGGCCATCGCTGTAAACCTTCCCCTAATGATAACCCCCGCCAACCCCAATTGCCAAGACTTATTTCAAATTACCCGACACTAAGCTAATACTAAACTCTCCCGAACCCAACTCTGCAGTTAGGGGTTGGTCTGACTCAAAAGCTGCGATTATTCTGAGGCGTGTTTTCCCTCCACTGGCTTCCCCTCAAAAGGGCCTACTCAAAAGCCGCTTTCTGAACGTGTTTTCCTCAAAGCAAAAGGCCCCCTGGAGTTGATTAGGGTCTCTATTGGCTTACTAAACAACGCAGTCTGAAACAGCTCCAGCTCAGAACCCAGGGACCCTACTAAACTTTTGGATAAGGGACGGTTTATTATTGGAACAGCAGTGGCATCACCCATGAGCGAGCAGGGGAAGACGAGTGACCAGCTTCAAAAGCAGGATTCCCTGTCAGTAAGCTGTTGGTTGTCTTCAAGAACGAAAAAATGTATTGACGGCGTGGTCTCCTGCACGATGGGCTGTCTCGCAACATCCCGAACACCTTCTTTCAAGCTGCGTTTGAGCCACATCAGCCATGACGGCAAAATGAAAGCACGTCGCGAAGGCTGCTTAACACACGCGCCGCGTGTCGCCGAGAACGTGCGCCAAGGCCTATAAAAGCCTGCCGAGAACAGCGTGCTGGAGGCGCCTACCACGCGCAATGCACGCAAGAATGCTGCCAAGCCTAGCAAATCTAATGGGTTCAGCCAAACCGTGTGGTGTTGCTGCCGTCTGAGTTGATGGCTTTGCCGGCGCGTGCTACGAGGAAGAATTTCTTTACGGTTACGAGTTGGACCATCGCCGCAGTATTGGGGCAGCGTCCGTTTCCAGCCCTAGTCTACCCAACGTGGCTAGAACACAGCATCAGTGTAAGGAGCTGGAAACAAGTCGTGCTTGTTTAAAGCGCCGCGCCCTACGAAATGCTGGCTTCGTATAGTATGGAAAACCTTCCTCCCACGGGCCACACACAAAATGAGGAACTTTGTTGGTTAGCGTTTCGCAGAGGAAAAACACGCTGCGAGGCAGCGAAGCACTCAATCCCGACAACTCGGCGAGAAGAAACGCCTGACTTTGACTGACACCCTGCAGAAAGTACTTGTTGCCAGTGGAAGGGAGTTTGAGGAGAACCCAAGCAGGCAATTCAGCACAGGGGCATCCAGCTGAGCTACTTTGTCGCGAAGGCGCGTTGCTGGCTTCCCCTCAACAAGCATTGCCTTTTATGGTCCGCTTCACGTGCTCAGGGCGAAGATCAAAACCAGATGTATATGAAGCAACAAGCGAAAAAGCAAAGGGTGATATGGATTGGGTTTCTCTGGCATCACTTCCTGCAGGGAAATCAGCTGCAACAGATTGACTCGTGCGAGCTTCTTGTAAAAAGGCGAAGGTTCACCTGAACCTGGTTTGCGCCAGCCGGATGGCAGAGTGTCCCTGTCCAACACTTTGCTGATTGATGTTGAACTCCATCCGCCTGGCAAATGATAAGGGGGCGGTTCCCCATCGAAAAGACAGCCGGATTGTTGATTCATCCGCGCCTCGCTCATCCCCCACAAGCTGCCATCAGACCGATCCCCTGGGTCCACAAAAGAACCGGTCAGATGTAGACTTTATAGACCTGGATCAAATCATGACGCGCAGGGCGGTTGTCTGCAAATTCTCCGACCCCTTCACATGGTAGGTTTTGTTTCGAGTGTCCTTGCACTGTATACAGCTGATAGCCAACCATAGGAACATACGCATTGTCAACCAACAAGGCAAGTATTTCAGTGGGGGCTTGGTACAAGAAGATGGCGCAATTAGGGCTTCAGCACCTTTACAAGCCTTCGCATGATCGGATTTGCGCCATCCACACCGTGTCTGCCGGCCCAACGAAACAGCAGCCAGCCAGGATGTCACCACAGAAAGAGGAACCCACATTTAAGGAGGGCCTGAAATATCGCCCTGCCACCTCAACGCAGTAGGGGTGTGTGAGCCACATCAGCTCTGAACGCGCGATGCAAAGACCCACGCGCCGCGCGTCGCCGAAATCGCGCACACCGCATGCCGTCTCAGTTGACTGGTTTGCCTGCGCATGCTTACTTAAGCAAAACTGTTTTGATACCTAGTGAAGTAAAAGCAATGAGTCACGATTCGCCAAACAAAATCTAATATTTAAAAACAACAGCACGTTTCGGCTTCGCAGAAAGAAAGGCAAACAACTACTTGGAGGGGGTTCGACTCTACTTCCACCGACCGTATCACACGAACGGCAGTGACCATTCGCAGGAAAACACACGCACACACGCGGAGTCCTGCAAGGACCTACTCTTGCGCAGCTCAGCAAGAAAACAAGCGTTTTGAGACCCCCTGCAGACCATACGATAACTGGTTAAAAGGGAATTTGAAGGAAACCCAAACAGGCAAGTCCGGCAATGCCTCAAAGCCAGTAAGAGACTACTGTCTTGGAGCTTCAGAAAGCCAGCTGAGCTACCTTTGTCATAAAGGTCCGGCTTCCCCTCAGCAAGAATTGTTGTCTCAAATGGTCGCCTTATGTTGAAAGCAGGATTTACGTGTTCAGAATGAAGATGCAAGCCAGATGTTCATAAAGCAGGGTCGCTGGGTCGGCGGCAAATCAAACCTGCGAATGATTGGAACCAGATATTGATATGTCATAATTATGTGCCGTGTTTGTCGTTTCAACTGGGACTCCAGTAAAACAAAACATGTAGGCTTTACCTCTGTAAACTGTCGACGGCTGGTAGGTTAGACCTCTCAAGCCGTGCTCTCGCTTGAGTCCAAGAGCCCCATGATCCGAATTTCGCGCCATTGCGCCCAAAGCGGTCTCCAAATTCTCGTTGCGGTTGCCAATGGGATCACACGCACGTTCAACCAAGGCATACATTTCAGTTGGGAGGGCATAGGTAGATGGCGGAATGGCCCGCATTTAGGGATTCATCACGGTTGCCGGCCATCCACCTTGTGCATACCGGTCCAGCAAAACAGCAGACAGACAAGATATCACCACACAAAGGGCACAACCACAGCTAAGGAGCACCAGCATGCATAATTACGTCGAGCTTTCCCTTATGGAGGATCAAAAAGTGCATCCGCCCCCATTTTCCAAGGCCTTTCATTTCCGAAAAGCAGGAAGCCTCAACGGAGAGTCGTGTTGGGGCACGCATGGCTTTGCACCATCTGGAATGATGGGGCGCGTAGCTCGGGAATTTGGGTGCACCACTCCCATTGACCTACACTTCCCCTTTCCGCATCACTTCAAACTGGCAACCAAAACCACAAAAACAAAACAGCCGAAAACAACCAAAAAAACCACACACACACTAACCACTTTTCTGGGTGATGCTTCAAACCAAAAAACAAAAGGCCACCTGCCACCTTTCGGTCCCCGACAGCGCCTCTCGAGCCCGTCCTCGTGGCTGCAGGTCCGCCATTTGACGGCAGCGATGGCCGCGCCAAAGAGCGCGCCGGAGGCGCCCAGAGCGACCTCAGCCATACCGTGGCTGGGCAAAGTCCATTTCGCGCCACTTGGAAACCATGAAAAACCATGGTCCGTTGGTGGGGAAAAAAAGGAATCATCATTCCAAGCTTAAATACTGGATTTTGTAGACCTAGTAGGGTGTCTCAAAAGAGGGCGCGCCTTTTTTGCGGCCTCGGTTGCCCAAAGGACCTAGGAATGAAAGGTTTACCTTGCGGTGCCACGACAAAAATGGGCCAAACCATTAAGCAAACCCAAAGGTGGCAGGGTCGATTCGCTTTGGGCCAGGGGCTCCAAGAAAGTAGCTCACCTTACCATGCTCGGTTGCTTTCTGCTCCCCTGCTAAAAGTTTAACTTTTAGTGGTTTCATGGAGAACCCATTAGTTGGCAAAAAGTTAAAGTCCTAACATCCAAGCAAAATGCACCAAAGCATGTGTATAACCTTTGTAATGGAAAGCGCTGCTTCCCCAAGAGAACGTCGGAGATTGTTGCAGGGTTTGGGCATTGAGTGCCCCTGGTTGTGTAGGAGTTTAGCAAGTCCCTTGGTTTTTGTGAAATTTGGAGCCTCCCCACATGGACAGGCTGGACATTTTGAGCAAGCCTCAATTGGGCTTGTGTCAAGTTGGCGGAAACCCTGAAATTGAGTGCTTTCTCCTTGGTTTTCCTTCAAGCCAGCCCCAACAAGGGTCGCCCCCAAAAAGCCAGCCACACCGAATTCTGTTCTTTTGAAGGCCCTTTGAATTTGACTTTGCCTCATGGTTCGGGGGGGAGAACAAATCAGCATGGTTTCCCTTTCGAAACACAAGACTATGGCCTTCCCAAGCTCATTGGCCAAAAAACGTCCAAACATGCAATTTTCCCCTGCAACATACTAAAAATAAAACGCATCTCAAGCCCAGGAATACGACAAGTGAGCAAGTGTGGAAAAAACAAAAAACTCCCGCAGTGAGGTCTCGAGTTCACCCCTCCGCACCCCGCCGTTCGCCGGGCGCCGCGCCGCCGCCCACGCCAGCGCCGCCACGTCCGCGGTGCGCGAGGCGGGCGCTGCGGCCGCGGCGCGGAGCGCCGCCTCGAGGCGCCAGGGAGGCGGGCGCAGGCCTCGAGCTTAGTCGCTGCGTGGGGTACGTTTTCTGATCGTAAATCACCTGAAAGCCTCGGTTGCGAAATCTGCTCCCCTGCTAAAAGTGAATAACTTTTAGATAGTGGTTTAATGGAGAAGCCATGAGTTGGATTAAAAAGTGAAAGTCCTAACATCCAAGCAAAATGCACCAAAGAAGCTCTCACACCTCTCACGCTTGACCCCCTCTCAGATTCCCAGGGCTTGCTTTAGCATTGCCAATTCAACAGAGTGTCACCTGTTGGGATACCAAGGGAAATCCAACCGCATAGAAACATAAACTTGGATGTTAGAAACTTGAGACACCACTTAAACAAAACCTAAAACTGTCGAAGCTAAGAAACCGCTGAGGACTGCCAAGAACCTTACCGAGATGTTCAGCCGTAAGTTGGCTCCGACCTGGGATAGAATTGGAACAGGGTTGTTTGACTCAGGTTGAACATCCAAGCACGTTTCATACAAAGGGACCTTAGCAGTAAACATCGCTCACTTTGCGCGCCAATGCAAGGCAGACCTGGGCTGAATTCCCCCTAAGGGCGTTCGAACAGAGTACCGGTTTCAAGGGCCCAGAGGTACGAGTGGAACGGAACTGCAGCTCGTGGGCCTTGGGCCGCCTTTGGGGGAAAGAACCGTCGTGCAAAAGAAAAACACGGCTCTGGTCAAAAAGGGATGCACCTCAATTCCAGAGATGGCGATGAGGCTCAGTCCACAAGCTGGGATGGGGAACCTCCACACATTTAAGCGCTGGTTTCCCTTGGAAAGTTTGACTGGCAAGTTCGCAACGCCACGCTTTTTTGCTTTATGTTTTCAACCAACCACAAAAGCCGTCAAGAGAGAAATTGCGAAACAGCTATAGGCGCTGCCCAGGTCAAAATGAAAACCGGCCGCGTGAGCGACACCATTGGCATCCACGCCAAACCAAAAACACAACTACCGGCCACTTGTTGGGGACATTTCTCAAAATGTGACGGGTGAACATGCATCTGGCATGGTTGCACGGCGAAGCCCCCCAAAAAACCACCTCCAATCGCTGGGGTGGGACCGTTTCCGACCCACTAACGTTCATAACCTATGGAAATGTGTCAAAATTAAGGAGCTGTGTCCCAAAAAATCGCGTTCTTCCTTTGTGTGTGTGTGTTGTTGAGTTGGCACCTTCTTCAGCGTTCTTCCTTTTGGCTTCCCTTCAAACCCACCTGCGAAAAGGCACCCCCGCCCACTCCCGTCAGGCCGCCCAGCTTGGCGCAGGCCCAGGGGAAGAAGCTCGGAGACCACAGCCGGCCCTCGCAGCCTAAGCGGCGAAGGGGGATGCACCGAATGCACCCCCCCGCTTCCCATAAGTGTCCTTGATGGGTTTCCCTGGTAGATCATTGGGAACTCCGGATGAAACCGGTTTCGGTTTCAACATGGGATCCTGGAGGCGTGAGGTCAGCCAAATGTGTTCCGCTGACTCTACTTAAATGCTTGGTCCAGACCATGCAGGTAGGCTATATGACCATGGTATGACTGGGGCAACTGGTGTTAGCAGACTTGTGACCTGGGCATTCCGAGTCAAAATCCGGAAAGAAAGTTATCTATCCTTAGCAAGGGTTCGATCGATGGATTCAGGGGCTCCAACATCACGTGCTCGACCCCGTTTCAGCACCTCGTGGATGAACCCACTAAACATCACTAACCAACTGCTGTCGGACTTTGTCCATCAGGACCTCACCCCCTAACAGCCCGCACCTTACTTCCCCACAGCAAGATGCTAATTCGGTTTACGAAGGCCGTACTGGAAACCAAAAGAGGAGGGGCGGTGTGGCACGGGCACCGTGCCAAGCCCCGATCGGACCTGGGCGGCAAGGTGCTACCGTCAAGTCGCGCCAGGTGTTACCCCAACGCTGGCCACAAGTCTCGGGATCTCAGCAGGGGAAGTAAGTGTCGGAAATGTGCCAGCTTACCGCAGCCGCTTCCGGCACCCCGGCCTACGCGACTTTTACAGCTTTGCAGCTTGTAGGAACCTCCTGCTGAGAAATCGGCTGTTTGGAATTCTGGTCGGCATCGCCTCTCTGAGGACGCTTGGTTGTCGCAAACTCGCTACCGGTGGCTTTTGGGGCTGGTTGAATCCGGGAAACCCACGCAAGGGAAACCACCTGTAAAAAAGTTTAGGATTCAGGGTTGGCTACTTTTCAGGGAGTAAGGGAAATCCATTTCCGGGTTCCCTGTAATCTTGGTTCGTTCCCAAAAACCCCTGCGATTGAAAAAAGGCACCATTTGTTGTTGGTTGTTGTTAGAGGGAACCCGCCAGCCACTGGGGTCCCTCCCCCGCTTTGCGGCGAAGCCGCTGAGTAGCAGCTCATAAGCCGCGCGGCTGCGGGCCGGGCAGGCGCACAGCAAGGTGCCAAAGCCTCGCCAAAGCGCCAACTGGTCACGCTGTGGATAGCTTGGGACGGATGAAGCCACATGAATTGGATGAGTTGGGACGCATGAAGCCACATGAATTCTGGGATGAACGAACTAAACCAACTGCTGTCGGGCTTTGTTCATCAGGACCTCACCCCCTAGCGGCCCGTCCCCTACTTCCCCACAGCAAGATGCTAATTCGGTTTGCGAAGGCCGTACTGGAAACCAAAAGAGGGGGCCAAGGGGCGGGGGGTCAGTGACTGGTTGCATAGCATCGTTCGTTCCACTGCCACTGAGCTAAACAGAGGTTACTTGGCGAATTGTCGGTAAAAAATCATCAGAAAATAGAAAACCACTTTTTGTTTGTGGACATTTACTAAGGCATGAACATCATCCTTTGCCAAATTCCGGTTGAGAAGACAAGGCTTACCGCCCCCAGAGGCAATAGACCTCTGACCTCGCTCTGTGACAAATCGCTTGCCACGGGTTGGGAAGATGACGTAGGCAGATGCGCCCCTTTGGTAGGGCCTGGCCCTGGGGATGCAAACAAACAAGTATCAAGTACCTGGACAACTTCATTCGTTACATATATTTTGTTTGTGTCCCTTGGGTGTTTCGGAGCAGTTTCTTCGTGATATAAATTGATATGTAAGAATGGAAGGTCCAGGTATGAAACAACCATACCAAGACTTAAGAGCAGTGAAGTCATTCATGGTACCTCTCTCGAGGTCTGCGTGTCAATTAGGGACCCTGAAAAAGCTATAATCATGTATCCACCACGGTCCGTTTGAATATTGAAGGAGGCACAGGTTTTTGCATGTCACCGATTTGGAAGGGAAGGAACCGGTCAATTGGTCTCTGCCTTCGCCCAGAAACCGTCGAGCTGGCTTGGAGAATGAACATGAGATACCAGGATTCCTAAGCCCCATTGCCTCCTAATCTGGGATACCCGTGGACAACACCCTGCACCACTATGGATGAAACCCGAGAAACGAAGAAACCACCTGTTAACTGGTGCAGGATTTACACAAAAATGCGACTTTCAGACTCTGTTTCATGTTTTCCCCACCCTCAGGTATAAACATCGTGTTGGAGACCCAACAAACCTGATCACAGAGCCTAGGGCCTAAGGACCCATTGTGGGACCCTTGGTCTGCAAAGGCCAAAGGGGCTGATCTCATCCGGAGTGAGTCGCGCGTGGCTCATCTGCTGGGCAACCAGAAGGGACTTTGCCCACCCAGGATGAACACAGGCAGCCACAGCGGCGTTGTAGCCTGCCAAATTCCCTACACCATGTCCACTGACATGACTTCCATCCGCCAAAGAAACTTCCCTGGGCCGGATGAATTGATGAATGCTTGTCTTGGCCTACCTTGAACAAGAGGTTCAAACAGCAATGTTCGCCCGGGAGTAAATGGCTTCACACTGTTGGGGCAGGACTGAAGTATTTCAAAGTTGGAAAAGCAACAGGTCAAATCATCAGGCCGGTTCGCTTTGTGCAAGCAGGTTGGGCCCCCCCAAGAAGGGACAAAACCAATCCCTGTAACGCGTTTCCCTGCCATCTATAGTGTCCAAAAATGGCCCTGGTTCTTCTTTGACCCGTGGGCCTCTTCTTTGTCCAACAAAGCATCCAGGGCCCCAACTGGCACCACAAGACAGCAAGGTTCGCGTGGTGCCCCTGCGCTTCTTGCTTGAGAGGGTAGAATAGCCCCAGCTGATATCCCAAAGAAACCCTCTGGAACCCTCCCTGAAAGCTGCCCCAAACTTCCCCGGAGCCTATCTGGGCAGAGACCCCATAGCTTTCAACTGTTCGGGGGAAAAACAGCTTGGTTGCTGCAACGACCCCTCTGCAAGAAACGTTTTCAGCTTTTTGTGGGTCCAATGAAGGAAAAAACAGTGTTTCAACCAAAAAGTTAAAGTCCAAAGATCCCGCCAGTCAGCGAGGGATGCCCTTTCGCGGTTTCATACCAACGTGAGGAAGGCGAGGGGGAGAGGGGAGAGGCGGGGGGCGGGGGGACACTTTGAGTCTCACTCAGTTGCTTAAAGGACCCAGAACTAAAAGGTTAACCTTCTGGCAGCTCTAAAAATGGACCAAAACTGAAAAAAAACAAAAAGGTCAAAAGGTCGATGCGCTTTGGGCACGACACTTGGGGCCTGAGATCCCTTCCCATCGCCCAACATCGAGACGACCCTCGGATGGCCGAAGCCGCCTGCGGCGCGCACTTCGAGGCGCCGGGACGGCATGAGCTCCAACAGCCTCGCGGTTCCGAGGGCGCCCAAAGCCCGAGCCAAATCTTGGAGGCGAGGTTTTCTTGAAAATCAAAAACTCCCCAAACAAAACTTGGAGGGATGCTGGATGCTTTGTTGTTTCTCTTTTTTCTTCTTCTTTTTTTGAACTGTGTCAAAAAAAGTGTCGCTTGTGTCAGGTCAATTCCTAGACGTCCCCTGAGTTTATCTGATTTTTTTCTGGTGGGTTCTGTTCCTATGAGACTACCACTTTTGCAGGTCTAAGTAAGGGAACATTGCGGGAACCCCGTTGCAATGAGTTGTATCGAGAGCCCAGCTTGGTTGCTTTCTGCTCCCCTGCAAAAAAGTTTAACTTTTAGTGGTTTAATGGAGAACCCATTAGTTGGCAAAAGTTAAAGTCCTAACATCCAAGCAAAATGCACCAAAGCCAGCTGCGTCAAGAGTTCGCTGTTGCCAGGCCGGCCCAACAGCCTGTGGCCTAAACGCTGCCCTCAAAGCCACGCATGTTGAATATTGGGCATGCAAATCTACGTCCAGTTTGTCCGATGGCTATCTAGCGGATACTCGTTTTATTTGTTGTCTTTGGGGGTCACTTTGGACCCATTTTCCGAAACGGTCCAGGCACCCAGGAACTGCTTGCAGCATGACACCCTTGACTGCAGCGTGACACCCCCAGGCCGACCTAAAACGGCAAGCTTTTCTACCTTAAACGCCAAAACAGCCCAACCATACCTCCCAACCTGGAAATATTTGGGACCCTCACCCCCCCGTCCCTAAAGCCACTTCACGGAGTTCTGCTTGTGTCATATGGGTGTGGGTTAAACTTCAACCACCAAAACCCGCCTGTTTTAGCCATGGGCTCCATGTCCCAGGGCTTGCGCCATGTTGGGGTTACCCGTTTTGGACCCACCATCTCCAGGTCGCCTGCAGGTGAACGCCCACTGAAGCTGCTCCGCGCAGGACGCCGCCAAGACTCCCAACTGCCGCCTGGCAAAAACCGAACTCCGCGATGCTCGGCTGACGGCTGGGAGCAGAAAACGACCGGGGCCCCCAACCAAGCCGAGGTCCTCCAGTTTTGCGAGCTTAGAATAAGTTGGTACCCGATTTTTTTTCTGCTCCGTCTATTTTAGTAAACACAACCCTCCTAAACGGTAAAAGGGCACTACTGGGGGACCTAGAAGGGCAAAAGGGTGCCAACGAACCCATGACAAGAACTCCGACATAGATGAAGCCCGCAAAATCACTGCCTATGAAAAAGGAAGAAGCCAACTGCCAAACTACAAGACTCATAGTCGTTGAACACCGCAAGTTCACCAAATGGGTATGGGTCACAATTAAACCAGACGGGGACCGCGGGCTTTCTTACAGCCAGATGGACGTGGGTCAACACCAATGGTACCAATTTTGGGGAGGTGAATTCACCACCCATTTTAGAACCGATTTACTGATTTTAGTGGGGATTGGGATGTGAACACTTGGGGTACGATTTGGGGTTTGACCCATACCCAAATGGACAGAACTAGAGACGTCAGGCCGGCAGCTCCCCTTCCTGCAGGCCCAGCGGCGGATTTGAGTTGAGGACGCCCAGCGACCGCTGCCACGCGGCCGACGCGAGCTGTGCGTGCGTGAGGTCCTCAGGCCGGGAGGTTTGTGTGAGGGGTACTTGGGCATTTTATTCACCAAGTGAGTAAGTTGTTGGGAACCTAGGTGATAACTCATGTTCCCCCTTTCAGTGGGGCTCCCTTTGAACACCCCATCAAGAGCAAGGAAACTCAGCTCAAAGTTGCCCCCAAGTCGAGGTCTAAACTTGCGGAACAAAGACACAAATGGGTTGGGATCCCCAAACTGGTTGATTCTAATTTGCCTCCTTTGTACACCAACGAAAAAACGGGTTCCTCCTGAAAAAACAACAACGCTCAAATACACACTCCCTTTCCTTTTTACACCAACAAAAAAGCCGGGTTCCTCAAAAAAATCACACCCAAGTACACAGATTGCGGCAAAAGCGGTGACAAGGCTCCAATCGGCAGCTCCCGGCTGCGAGGTGTGTGCAAAGGGCACATGCCTGTCGCGGATCGATCCAGCGGGAGCCAGCGGAATGGGGCCCAAAATTTTCTGGCCCCATTTTAGCAACTCCTTGATTCCACAACCCTGAAGTGGTGGGTTAAAGGGAAACAGCCGATTCCATTTTCTGACTTTAACCCCCTGAAACAATCAAAATACTGACCCCCGTACTTGGACCGCTAAGAAGCACAGGGGTTGGTGGACTTGTACTGGTTCGAACCCAGTTTCTAGGTCTACCCAGTGGATCCCAATTACTGCCTACTGGGTTTCCAGCCATGTTCTTTTCGGTTTTCGAATCGGTTCCTTGGCCTACCCACTAGGTTCATGGAATTACTGGGCCGGTTCCAATCTGGTTCCTAGGTTGAACCTCCAAATCATGGAGCAAGGTTTCTGCGAGTCATGGCCAGTCAGCCGAAGGCCCCAACGTGAAAGCAGACCTCATGGTAAGCTCGCAACCTACTTCAATTCCAATCCCTGGCTCAAAGGGAGGAAACCAAACACTCGCACAGTACTTATCTGAACTCGATGCGTCGATGTGCAAGTGCGTCACTTCCTTGGCTCGACTCAAGGGCATCACGCATGAGGCCATCAACCTTTCATGGAAAAAACACTGTTCTTACAGCGCGTGAAGATGCGTGTGTGTGTGTGTGCACTCATGTTCAGCACTGGACAGACATCTCACTTGTCAAAGGCCTGGGAATTGAATGGCCATTCGGGGCAACTGAAATTGACGGAACCCGAGGGAGAAGAAAAAAAAAGAACGGGACACCCTCAGAATGGTGCGCAAGAAAGAACAAACCTGGGCTGTGGGTTCTGATGTCTCCATCAAACAGTCAGCGGGCTGATCGTCGGCTGAGGTCCTCGCCTCCATCCATTTTGCCGAGTCCTCGGGTCGCATCGCTGGTGTAATTTGCTCATCGAAGCGAGTCTAAGTCGCATCCCGGATGCAATTGACCTTTGGATGCAAAAAGAATCCCGGACAAGCTCCAAAAGAGAGAGAGAGTGAGAGAGAGAGAGAGTGAGTGAGTGAGTGAGTGAAAGAGTGAGAGAGAGAGAGAGAGAGTGAGAGAGTGAGAGAGAGAGAGAGAGAGAGCCAGGTGGGATGAATCCATCTGAGATGTGGGATCAATCCATCTGAGGCCTGCTGTACACGCCCCGAACAGTTGACCTCTGGCCAAGGCCGCCCTCAAGGCCTGCCTGAGCAAATCTTCAATGCAAGTTCTTGATCTTGCTATGGCGCCACACTATATAGGTAGTAGGACCCCAACCTAAAACTGCCAAGAAGCGCCTTGCGCGCTGCCCAAGTCAAAACACCCCCCAAATCAACAACTGGCGCGCTGGACGGACAATACTTTGATTCGTGGGGATGAAACCTTCCCATTCACCGCACAAAAAAAAAAAAAAAAAACGGGGGGAGGGGCAGTCAAACAAGTTCATTCCCTGAACCATCGCTCGAAACTCAAGGGCGGAGGCCAGCTGTGGATTCTCCTGACCAAGCCCCCTTCCCGAGCTACACGCCAAGACCCGAGGCCCCTGCCGCCAGAGTCTCCACCTTCTTGCGGAGCAACGCCCAGCCGGGGTGGAGAACGCCACAACACAGTCTCAGGGCCTTGCTTTGACAAGTTGAGACGCCTTTCTTCCCAAACAAAGGGCAGTTTGCCGATTAAACCGCCCAAAAAGGAGTAATTATTTTCAAAACAAGAGGGGTACCTGGGGAAAGTAAATCTCCCAGTGGCCGCGGCCTGCAATTCCGCCCTTCGAAGGGGCGTCATTTCGGCGTTAAACACACTCATAAGCTCGTAAGGGGGCCACAATGCACTTAACAGGCTGTCCATGTTGCTCACCCCCCAACCCTCGAGCAAGAACCGTGACGCGGTGCCCTTGTGGAGGCTCTTCAAAGGCAGACGTTGACCTAGGAACAACCATGTAACAACTTCCCTTCGCAACTTTCGTGGCGAAGGCCCTGATACACTACTTGTTCATACAGGGCTGATAAGCCCTGCCGCATAGAACAAATCAGGCGTCGCCCCTGCGACATAAAATTCGACAGACGGTGGGCGAAACTGGGCACCTTCTCTTTTGTACCGAGGGCCTTACTGATCAACGGGCTCCTCTAAAGTAAACATGGAAAACCGACCCAGGCGTCCAAGAAAGAGATAGAACACAGCGGACAAATGTCTAGTGGGCATTACCCGCGTGAATTTTCGCATTTGCGGTTGCTATATCGCCATGGGTCAAAATTCCGTACGCCGCACCCCCAGTGAACATCCGAATCCCCACCAAAATAGACTAACATGAGTGGTGCACCTACCCCAAAATGGTACCATAGGTTTTGACGCAGACCCATAGGTTCATCTTGTCGCCCTGTGGCAAGCGAAGTCGACTGAAGCCCTGCCTGCTGCCAGCGCTGGCCGCCTCGGACATAGGAAATGGGTCGGGCAATATCACAGCCAACGACAACGGCCGCAAGAGGAATTCCTTTGCCAATGCCTTATGAAAGCCAGCTTGGGGCTTAAATCAATCTCAATGTTTTGTCGTTTCCGGTCAGGCTCTTCTCAACAAGACGGAAAAATGACCCCGCCCAACAAAAGGTGTCTTTTCTCACCACCTAACTGCAGAGTGGTGAAGGTTCCACATATGTTGCTAAGGAGCTCAAGGCCGAATTTGTTGCTTTGGAGCAGGGCCGTGGGTGTTGCCAAATACCCCGGGAGAACAAGAAGAAGCCCGATAGTTTCCCCACAGCGTTCGTTTCAGCAACCGTAATTTAATGTCGCTTAGGTGTCCAGCCAGGTGTCCAGGACTCGTTTGGCCTAGCAATGCGGCTTTGAACCAACGGGCCTTGTAGGCAGCAGAAACGGACCTCCACACAGCCCGGCCGAGTGGCCCCCATGGGCCCATGATCGTGTTGTCTGGGATGAAGTCCCATAATGTCCCATAACCATGTTGCATGCAATACCTGCAACTCCCCGCTGATGCGCATGATCCGCAAGATTTGTCTGGGATGTCCAGTTTGGTGCTTTGCGGTCGGCTTCAAACGGCAACTTCCGCGTTCTGCGGGATATGAGACACCCAGATTGATCCAAGAGGCGCAAGGCTGACTCCCAGCAGGGGTTCCTGGCAAACGCCACCCAAAACGGCTTGTCCCCCTCTGACGAATCTCTCATAAAGACTATCCTCTTGGCACCCAAGCCACCCCCAAGCAAAATAACAAGTGTACATGACAAAAGCTTCTGCCATACTAACTCTGTGCATGGTCTTGAGGGTCGCACCTCCCAAAACTTTAAAAAAAAAAAAAAAAAAAAAAGCTAGCCGGAAACAACATGTGCACATGTTGTTTCAAGAGTCAAGGTTTGACAAGCTCATAAAGGGTTTTCAGGCATGTCCCCCAGTATAAAACCCCCCGTGCCATTTGGGATCAGGGAGACACGGAACACCGGAGAGGACTGGAGGACTGGAGTTTAACTTTTCGTGACCTCCATGCTGCCCGGTTAGCTTGCCTGCCTGTCCATTGGCTAAATGGAAACTGTTAATAAACACTAAAAGGACCTAAAAAGCTAAGGAACCGGATGGCCTTCGGAGCCACCAAGTCATCAGAGGTTATCATTAAACAGATGACAAAGCCGTAAAGATGCTCCCTTTTTCTAGCAGGGTCACAGGACCACGGGGAGTGCCCTGCAAGCCAAATTCGGCAAACTTAAGTGATGTCATGGCTTGTCGTGAATTGGTGGCTGTCCTTTTGCTTTCCATTTGAGACAGCAAAGCATACCCTTGCAAGAAACAATCAACGTGACGCCGATTCCCCATAAACTCGGGCCGAGTGCGACAACTGCAATAGCCCGAGACAACACCACACCCCCTAGTTAGCCTCCCACTGGTATCTTTGATGTGCAAAAAGGTGCACACGTTCAATTCATCCTTCCAAATCGTAAAAGTATCGAATGATCCAAACAGGTGATGTGTAAACCAGCCAATGAAGGATCCAGTGACCCCTGTACAAACTCACCTTCTTCGCACCTGGTGAACCCCATAAACAAGTAAACAAGTCCTGCCTTGTGGTAAAAGTAAATGGATGCCGCCATTTTTAGAGGAGCCTCCTTTTGGGGGGACCGGTTCCGTGTTTATTTGTTGGGGTGTGAGAAATTTGTTTGCGTCGGCATTGGAATCCTGAACTCTGTCCTGGGCATGAGTGGCGGCTGCACGCCCTGGCGGAATGCTTCTGGCGGGCTGAAACAAATTCAGTGGCCAAGCCATGTATTGGCCCTGGCAAATCTGCGACACAACTTGAGTCAAAACCAAAACCCGGTATCAAATGGTCTACCCAGAGCCATGTAAAGAACTAAGAAGGCGGCCCCAGCTACTTGTTTTTGGAATTGTTCCTTACTAACCTTCATCTACCTGGGTTTTGATTGTGGCTCACTTGGGGATCCGAACACATCCGGTCTTTTCAACTACCCAAGCAATGCCATCAAGGAAAGCTTTCTGGACAACATGAGGGACACGCAACATGGTTGCAAAAAGCAGACAGCTCTGGCAGTTGTCTGCTGTCGACTTTACCTGGAGTTTTCTCCCCGGTGGGTTGGCGAGCAAATGAAAGCAAAGCAATGTAAACATCTGGCCTAGCAACTGCAACTCAGCAATCTGAACTCAGAACTCCATACATCAGAACCTCAGTGAAGCCGCGGCTTTTTTGTTTTGGCGCACAACTTCACTAAATTCAAATCCTGAGGTGCTGAACTCAGCCCCAAAAAGAAGCCCCTTCGGAGGGCCCCTTCACATGCCGCACAAATCTCTCGGGGCCATGGGTCTCGGCTTCAGCCCCTGGATTCCTTTCAGGTGAAGCATGTACAGGCCAAAAATAAATGCCCATTTATTTTGTATTTCTTTTATCTAGCACTAAAATGGCCTCCCCAAAAGTCAAAGTCCAAATGCCCAAACTTTTTTTTATCCACCACCAAAATGGCCTCCCCAAACAGTCACTCAATGCCAACTCAGGAAGTGAGGGTATGGGCTCTTCAGGTATCAGGTAAGGCTCTCTGCAACTCGTGACCGAATCTACTGCCGCACGGGACATATAAGAGCCCCATGCTTCCAACACCAAAACACCTGAGAGAGTGCCACCTTGAGAGCCCTGTGAAAGAAAAACCTCATGACATGCTCGGAATCCACTCTGGTGGAATCCACCTGGAACCAGTTTGTCCATAGTGATTGAGCCTTGAATCCTTGAAGCATCAAGAAAATCAAACCGCATTTATATTGATCCCGGCCACCCATTCCAGGTCGAAGCCGGCAAGGCCGCCTGGTGCCTTGTTTTTTCTGTTTACTGCATCCGCACGCACAGAAAGAGGCTTTGACAGCCATTCGCGCGGAAAATCTTGAAACTGGGGAGTTCCCCGAAGCTTCCCTGGTCGCCAGCAAGGCAACAGTATGAAATGCTCTGGCCCGTGCTGACACATACCCATTACCCATGTTGCTGAGAGCGCAGCTAGTGAAAAGGGCTTTGTACTTCTGTCAGGCTAGGAGCCGCGAATGAAGCTATTTATGTTTTTCTTTTCCCATACAAGAAGGAAGTGATCAGAGGTTTTCTTTTGTTAACCCCTTTGCCCAGCTTGTGGTTGGCGGGCCCAAAAAATTGCCTTGAGGTTTCAAAAACGCCTTGCCCACCCAAATGGCTCCCTTCCAGGTGCACCCCATCGAAGTCCAATCAAACCAACTTTCTATTCGCTCAGGAAGCCCGAGGCTGCTTTCCCATTGTTTCTGAATGAAACGGGGCACTCTTTACCAACCCTCATTAATTTCTTTTAAACGGTTGAGGTTCATTCGCGATCTTCCTTTGCCGTATGAACTGGCTGGAAAATGCATTCACATATCCCTTGCTTTTCCAAAACTGCATGGTCTGGTTGGAAGATGCATATGCACTCGGAAACTCCCGTGCCGTGCATCTTTCCACTTTCTACCCCCGCACCGCCGCCACATGGAGCCATGCAACCCAGGAACCCTCTGGCAATGAGGAACCTGTGCCCAAATGATCCGACTCATTTATGTAGCTCACCTGCTCCTTGCAAAAGAGCTTCCCTCCTGCTGCCCGTCGTTCTGTTGGACAACTGTCATGTTTGGAAACGAGGCAACCCTGGAATCAGATATCGATGGAAAGTGCAGCTAGTACAACACTACACTTGCTGTTGCGAAAACGGGACGGTAAAACATCAGATTCCTAAGACTCACTGATCCGCGGCTTGGCAAGGCTCGGGCCAAAAAAGGAACAACAACATGTCGCTGATCGACCACTTTGAACGTGTCCCATACGCAAACAACAAGGATCCTTGGGTGCTCATTCACGGGCCCAGGTCAGTGCAGCGCATGTGGCGATGTGCCGTACCGTGACGGTCTCAGGGGCTCGCAGACTCAGAACCAAACAGCCTCAGTGCAAGGACAGCGTGGCTCGGGCTTTGATTTTGGGTGTCCTTTTTTTGGCGACCCCCAAAATGGTGGCTTAAGCCCCCTGACACCGCAACAAAAGGGGTCTGGGTGAACTATCATATTTCACCAACCTGAAATAAGGTGGTTGGGGGGCTATTCCCCACATAAACCACCATTTGGGGTGAATGAGGTGGTGTGAGGTCGTTATTCACCCAGAGGGGTGCCCTCAAAACAAAGCACACACATCTTTGTCAACTCCAACGAGACTGCCACTTTTCGAGGCTCAAAGGCAAATTGAGAGGCCGTAATCATGAGCAGGATTTCCAACAAACATCAGCACCAAAATCAGGCACCCATGGTTGCATGCCCCCAAGGCTCGTAAGCGGATGCTGTGAGTTGCATGTGAGGGTGGTTTTGATGCTATCGCTGGATTGCGACTGTGGCCCCGGTCTTAAACGATGATACTCCGTCAGAGCTCCGCTATACAATGATATCATGCTCACTTGGCCTGACAAAATCACGTTTGTTGCTGACTGCTGTAGTCAAGTGAAGAGGCGGCATGAACCTGCTCAATGCGGAACGGATGTTTTTGTCCTGCTCAGAGGCTTGGCAATTTGATGCCTGCCTCGTCTACCATGTTCGCCACAGTAAATTCGCGCCCAATTGGTTGTGTCACACGGCAGGGGCAGCACGCCCAAGCTTTGGCGTGAACTTCACGAGCAAATGTTTATGGAGATGTGTACTTCCATTTGTTCAGAAGACTGCCTGGCCGAACCTCCTCTGACACCAAAGGCACTTTTTGCTAATTAATCCGTTGATCTGCTCTGGAAGGGACACACCATGGAAAATAATAGCAGCAATGGCCCTGGAACAAGGCCCCACCTCTGCCCACCTCCTTTTCCCCGGTTGACGCCAGGAAAGCCCCCCCAAGTGCATCCCCAGGCCTCTTCTTTCCCTACCCCCGGCCGCCGCCCACCGAACTCACCACAGACCTCCCTCTGGGCCCCGCCGAGGCGCCCGCGGCCCTCCCGCGGCGGTGCTCTCAGCGCTTCCGAAAGCCGAAGAGCTGCTTCAGCTTCTGGAAGGGCGCTTCCAAGCTGCGCGTTCGGCGCGTTCGTTGGGGCGGTTTGAGCCGGCGGCCGGGAGTGTCTTTTTCGCTGGGGGGAGTCCTTCCGTGGGGATATGTGGGCTTGATTGTGGGGCTTTCCTGTGGTGGAATTGCAGGTTTACTTTTCATTGGGGACCCTTTGGTTGGCATGAATGGCACTTAGTTTCAATTGGGTAACATTTGGACACTCTTTGTTGGACATCATTTACGTAAAGGCTTTTTGTCTGCCAACCATTCCTCGGGTTGGTCCCACTACTTGGAATTCCAGTCAATGTTGTTCGGCAAAGATCAACTGGGCGAAAAGTCAATCAGCACAGGGCATCACAGGGTCAACCTTTTGACTCCTTCTGAAGGTAAAAGAGGCGATTCCGATCTGCTCAAGAAGATTTCTACATATCAACGCTCCAGCGCATGAAGGTAGACCCTGTGAATGATGCTACTACAAGTCACCAACCTGAATTGAGGAAGCCACCGGCAATCCTCATCGTAAGCTCGTTCCCTGCCCCCTGAACAGCTCGCTCTGCCGCTGTCAATGAGCCCTTGGCCCCCAACATGTTCCGCTGTACATGAGAAAGGTATGTGCTGGTTTGAGTGCTAAAAACAGCTAGGGGGATGCATTTAGTCACAAAATCAGTTGGCCGTTCTGTGATGCCGATATGTGTCCTGTGTAAAGATGTCTCTTGAAAGGGTTGCCCCTTGGCATTCCAGAGCGAAAAGCTTTTCAATGACATCCCAAAAGTGAAGTCCCTCACAAAGGGTTCCAAACATGAGCCCTACAAGAATCTGGACTGGGAACTAATGGCATACCATCCACAACCAAACAGTTCTGCGGCCACGCCAGGTCGTGCTCCCTATTACGTTGTGGATTCAAAGATAACTTGGTTCTTAGCTCACCTGTGGTGCGGCTGGCCTGCTTCCCTAAGAGGCACAACTCTCTTGGGCCCTCCAATTGAAAGGCCCTTCAACCAACCCTTTACGCGCCGATTCCTGAAATCGGATGCGCCCTTTGGATGACCACAGAAGAAACGGAAGTGTTGCCATCTCTACTCTTGGTACGTTAAAAAAAACATATTGTTTTTTGCAGCCCCCCCCCCCCCCCCGCAAAAATGAACAGAGCCCAAAAACTAAAAAGCACACGCCCAGACCAGTGAAGTTGCAATTGGGGACCGCCAAGTACCTTCCAACTCTGAACTCCCTGAGTTGCCGTCCGTGCCAGGAAAAAAGAAGAAACAACCGATACCCCGAAGCGTCCGCATAGCCCAAAGCTCAGCCATTCAAGATATTCAAGGACCCCTGGAAAGGAAGGGCCTGTGCCCCTCTGCTTTTGCCCAACAGTAAACTCACATGAGATCCTGGCAGCCATGTTCAGTGAACCTTTCTGCATTTCAGAGGCCCAGAACCGGACCGGACTTCGACTCGCAACCAAGTCGTGACTTCAGGTTGAATTGGACATCGGAGAAAAAACAAAAACGGGATCAACGAATTGGCGCAAATTGGGCAGCTGAGCTGGGCGATGAGAAATGGGTACTGGGCAACCGGGGCCCAGTAATGCTGACACCCTATTAATCAACCCCAGTTCATTACTAGGGGGGTGTTCCCCTCCAAAAGTGCACAATCCCCACTAAAACCAGGGACACCCCATATTGACAAACAGGTGTTTATTGATAGGTGGCGTTC